GAAGGACTTACTGAAGACTCACTGCAAAAAAAAAAAAAAAAAAAAAAAAGAATTACAACCTAGGCATCCACGCTCACGTGCCTTCCACCAACCACACTGTCCTTCGGAAATAAATACACCACTCGCTTTTGGGCAAATTATAAGGTTTCCCTGTGCCTCAGTTTCCTCACTGGTAAAATGGGAGGGGCATAACAAACATCTTGGAGTTTGCATCTCCCACATTAAATATTCTATGATTCTACTATATTGTGTCAAAAAAATTACAAGAGCCCTAGCCAGTTGCTCAGTGGTTAGAGCCCAGTGAACTGGAGGGTTGCAGGTTCGATTCCAGTCAAGGGCACGTACTTCAGTTGCAGACTCAATCCCCAGGCCCAGTAAGGGCACATGTGGGAGGCAAAGAATGGATGTGTTTCTCTCATATCAATGTTTCTCTCTGTCTCTCCCTCTCCCTCCCACTCTCTAAAAATCAATGGAAAAAATATCCTTGCGTGAGGATTAACAACAACAAAAATTACAAGAGAGAGAGAAAAAAATAAATGAAGTGTTTGAATTTTGCTAACACACCCAAATGTTTGCATGGTGTTTGTTTTACAGTTCTGAGTGCGCACATCCCATATGTGCCTCCTGGTGACAGGGAGAAAAATCCCAAAGCATAATCTCTAGAGTCTGATGTCTTTCACAGAATAAATTCATTCTGGAATGGCAGGGAACATGGTGCTCTGTTCAAGCAAATACTAGATTGCAGGCCATGCATAGATGATCAGCATTGGAGAATCGGGATACAGTGAAGCACACTGTTCCCATCATAACTCAATTTTCCTCGGTAATTCAGAGCATCCAGGCTATGGCAGCGCCACATAAACAGTCGTCACCGGGCCTGTGCGCTTACGATGCTGACAGAGAGCCATTTCTGGTTGCTAAGATGCCGACTAAACCACCGGGCATTCTGCACTCCACAGTCAAGTACATCTGAGTGTTTTTCTTAAGAAACTTCTCTGCATTTGATAATGAATAAGAATTAAATATAAAGGTTTTCTACTCTTACTTCATCTATTCCCAACAAAATCAGTTCCTCAGTTTTCAGGGAAGTGTGAAACCATGAACACTGTCGTCACCAGTTACTACTTTTAGCTAGATTCATTCTAAATCCTCTTACAATGGGTGGACATACAGAAACATGTCCCCTAAGCTGTTCTGGTGACTGTCCATGCTACACAGAGATAAACAACAGTAGCTGTTCAACCTCTGTGCTGGCTGCATGACCCACCCTGGTCCTCCCCACTGGCCAGCGCACAATTGGGGACAAGTGGCCAGTCATAGAGCATGTACTCAGCTAACATTTTATAACCAAAGACTGGATCTTCTTTCAGTTAAGATGGTGCAGGAGTGTAGCCTGGAGGGAGGCAGCTGGCAGAGAAATAGGAAAATGCAGTAACCTCATTTCTCCCTTTAATTATCTTTCCTTCCCTTGACATACTGTCTATTTCTGAAACTATCTCCTTCATTGCTCCAACTGCATTTGTACTGTGGCCCTAGTTCTATTGAGCCATCTAGCTTGGCATCTTGTTCGGTCGAAAACAGTCACACGATGTCATCTAAAACTTTGGGGTTTACTATCAATTAAGTAACGGTGATTATAAAAAGATATATACAGAGGCGAACTCAATAGAGTATGAATTCGATGGGATAGGAGAGGTTAGAATAATAAGAAATGGTGCAAACCTGGGGTATTCACATAAATTTTAGCAGAAATGATAGGCAACTAAATCGTAGAGACGGGCTCTTGGGAGTTTTGCATTGATACAGGTTCAACACCTATGATGGCCCCCAGCACCAGGCAGGGCCGTTGGAAGGTGCTTCTCACCATGGCACCAACTCTAAGGGCACAGGTTCCGCGTGAGGTGGCCTTCCATCGTCCCTAAATCATCCATCCCCATGCTTTCTGGGCCTGATGGAACAGTCACTGTCCCTAGCAATGACCGCTAAGAACGTGATTCTGCTCTGTTTGAAAATGTTGATTTTTATAAACTTAAATTATATGCCTTCGCAAATGCTCCTCTTCCCTAATGAACAAAATTAATTTGTGTGAACTCCAAAAGTATACTTTCTACCTGGGCCCGGCCATTTTCTCAATGGAGTATTTCAATCTAGTTCAATAACATGTTCATTGAACTAGTTCTAGTTCATTACAATAACATGTTCTAGTTCATTCCCAACTTTGCTCTTCTTATTAGAACTTAGTGATGAGAACTGCTGGGACCAGTCTTAAGTGAACACAAAAGCAATGTGACAATGGGAGCTCTCAGAAGGTCTAGGCAGTAACACTCAACAGATGGGGAATATCTCATGGAAAAATATGTTTCTTTTAATCACTCTAATAGAGAAAATTAGCCCCAGATGCAAAGGCAATATTCCAATCCATTCCTGGATGTCAAAAAAAAAAATCTCTGGGTAAAAGCATGGCACAACGCACCATGGGGATCCCTGGAAGGCTTGCAAAGATCAGAATGCCGATGTCAACTCTGTTGCCCCCACTGGCCAGGCTCACTCCTATGAAGACCACTGTGATCTTGGCTCTCCATTTCTCCATGTTCGCTCTAACAATCTTAACCAGTCGTCCCATCAAAGTTCTATGAGAATTTAAAGTCACTGAGATGTTTTAAAATCTAAGTGATCTTTTAGTAACAGGAAAGAAGAGCATTTCCCAAAGTTATTTGCCTTTTTTTAGAAAAAAAACAAACAAACACAAACTACAGATCATAATAGAGAATCCAAAATACCCATCTCCTTTTTCAGAGTAGCTTCTTCAGAAGCCTGAGCCAAACTCTGCAAGTGAGAAGGTCTGGTGAGTATTAAGTCCACATAGCACACATCTCTCTCCTTAAGGGCATCCACAAATCAGCAATTTAATGCTATACTCAACCATCAAAGGACACCAGGATTGAAAAGTTGGTGGTTTTAGGAGGAGAGATACTGTCCTCTGGGGTTACATGCAGACCTGCACTCTTCTTCACCATTTTATGCCTCTGTCATGCCATAAATTTTTTTTTTCAAGCTCTCAATAAGCTACAATATTCTGTTCATTCTACTGTCAACATGTTAAATTCAACTACCATCTACAATCTCGTTATAGAATCAAATGTCTCAAAAAATAGATTATGTACAGAGAAAATATATATCATCTTAGTAAGAAGCAAATGATAATCTTTAAAATTTAGTGAACCAGAGAAAAAGAATCATTTCTAATAGTGAAAATAACTTGACCTTTCCAACATCTTGCTCCTAAAAGCACTACCGAATTAGCTTATGATTAATTATTTAACTGCTATCATAACAGGTGGGGATCAGGCCTAAAAGCTTTCCAAGCATTCAAAATATCTGTCTTCAAAGTAAAAAATAAATAAGATTTAAGTCTAGCCTAATATTTTACCCATGCTCCAAAAAGTAGTCATAGTATTATTACTAGAATGTGACCAAGTAAAACCTCTAGTTGTAAAAATTTTAAAAAGGGAACACCACAAATTAAAATGCCACCCAGGGGTCACAATTGGGTTCACCAGTTTTCTATTGTTTTGTGTGTTTTGTGTGTGTGTGTAACTGATAGAAGAATTAAAAAAAAAAATCTCAGGAAACAAGCAACACATTTTCAGAGAACAATGTATTCTCCTGCTCCTTCCAGGGCTAATGACTAAGCAGTGAGTGGGAAATGTGGGTCAATGCATAATGTTTTATTATCCACTTACCTGTATATACACTTATAAATGGTGTTTTCCTCCCTACAAAACATAAATAGCCCTGTGGAAGCAACCAGGTTTCCATCATCCCTGACCTTTCAGGTAAAGGCAACATCCATTAACCAGTTTTCAGGGAGAAGGAAAAAAAACCATTCCTGGCTATCTTTAGAAAGTGGCAAGTTCTGGAACTTGTAAAAATTACCCAAAACACAAATAATGAAGAAAGTATCAAAACTTTTAAGATTTATAAAAAGTAGAAAAATGATGAAAACAAAGTTAGCCAAGCATCTTTAAATGTTTACATAGCTGCTATTTGGAAAGTAAGCCTTGCCAATTAGCTGCCTCTGAACCCATAGGGTTACCTGAATCCAGGGAGATTAATTATAACTGTAAACTGATTTGAAGTTACTCTTTTACTTGGCTGCCTGGTGCAGGGAAGAAGAGGCGTGGCAGAACATGTGTGTGCATGCATGTGTGTGCACCCACGGGTGGGCCTTCTGTGCCTGCTCCTGTGTGCTCGCTCCCATATGCACACTGTGGTGAGCGAACTAGGTCTGGGATTGCACAGGGAGAAAAGAGCACGCTCTCTGAGTAGCCTGCCACTTGTGGTCTGTCAAATGACTGAGGTCCCAGAGAGACTATCAACGCAGCGGGTCAAAGGTGTTCATTTATGCAAACACATATGGGCAATGAGCAAAAAGGAGTCAGAAGGGGAGCACCAGGCACCTGCATCTGCACCATCAGCCAGAGTTCAGGGACACCCTGCTGGCCTACCTGAGCCCAGACTACCTGTGCATGAGGTGCCTGGTAAAGGGCTACCTGGGCACAAGGTTTTTAGTGCAGGACATTGAACTACCTGGCTCTGGGGCTGCTGGGCCTGGGACACCTGGGTTCAGAGCTATCTAAACCCCAAACATATTGGCATGGATACTTGGGCATCAGGTCTATCTGGGCTCCTGAACTACCTGAGCCTGAGCCCCCTGGCTACATGGCTACGAGGCCTGGACCTCCTGGGTTCAGAAATACCTTGGGAAGAACTATTGGGGCACAGGGCTATCTGGGTACAAAACACTGGGCCAGGCATATCTGGGCTCAGAGATACCTGGGATGGGGTCACCTGGGCAAGGGGCCACCTAGGTACACATCACATGGGTATGGGGTTACCTGAGCTAGGAATACTGGGCCTGAGCCACCTGGGTGCAGGACTACCTGAGCCGAGACTACCTGGGCATGGGAAAACCTGGCAGCACAGGCGCATCCACTCACCTGGTGCAGGGTCTGCGGCACCCTCCTCTCCGCTCTCATCAGCACCCTCCTCTGCCAGGCCAGAGCCTGGGGAGTCAGTGGCTGCGCAGGCTGATCCAGGGCTGCTGGGCTGTGAGACCGAATCGCCCTCGCTGAGTGAGCCGCAGCGGGTGCGGGGCACGCGGTCCCCTGTGCCCTCCTGTTCCCTGCGGGCGCGGCGGTGCACCCGAGAGTGCAGCACCATCTGGTGGTAGGTGCGGAAGATCTTGCCGCACTCGAAGCACTCAGAGGACTTGCCTTGGCCGGCTGGGGTGGTAGCCCGGCGGCTGGGGCGTGAGGCGGGCCTAGGGTCCAGGGACCCGGGTGCAAGGTCCCCTGGTGCGCCTGCCCTCTTTCGTGGGGGGCCCTGCGCACCAGGCTCCAGCTCACGCTTGCGCTTCTCCTGGCTCACCAGGATGTACTCGCGCCGCTCCTTGTCAAAGGCCACATCCCCAGCCAGTGCCTCGTCCCACGTCCCGTACTTGAGGTACTCGGCCGGCTCGACCACCTTGCCCCGGGTGGCCAGCTGCCAGGCCTGGTAGCTGTTGACCGGGTCCAGCTCGGCCACCCGCTGCCCGGTCTGTCCGTGGGCTGGTGCACCGGTCCCAACGGGGCACAAGTTCAGGCACTGGAGGAAGAGCTGCTGGGAGTCCGCAGGGCCGAGTTCGCCCTCCCCGCTCAGGGCCCGAGTTCTGCCCGCCTCCACCCTGCGGTGGACTGCGTTGTGGGCATTCAAGCTGTCCAGGTTTGTAAACAGGTTCCCGCACTTGGTGCAGACTTCATAGAGGGCCAGGCCGGCCACGATGGCCTCCTCCTGCACCACGTTGTTGATGGTGGCGATGGGGTCCAGCTCGCTCTTGGGCCTGTTCTTGCTCCCCGCCTTGGGGCCATGCGCCTTCATGTGGTTTTTCAGGAACCACGGCTCTTTGAACCTCCGGCCACAGATGTGGCAGCCGTGGTCGAAGGAGCCCCTGTGCTTCTTCATGTGCGCCTTCAGGAACCAGGTCTGGCTAAAGGCCTGGCCGCACACCTCGCACGGGAACTCCCCAGGCGGCAGCTCCGGCTTGCCGTTCACCACGCAGGCCTCCCCACTGGGCACCTGCGCGGTGATGTGGTCCTTCTCGATGTGGCTCAGCAGCGACTCCTCCCTCAGCGTCACGTAGCTGCACAGCCGGCACTTAAAGGGCTTGTGTGCCCGGTGCACGTGACGCTCCAGGTCCTTCTTGCGCTCGAACTTGCTCTTGCAGAAGGAGCACTGAGCCGCTGCGCCGCCGTCCTCCGCAGAGCACGCGGCCCCCTCCGCCTCCTTCCTGCTGCTCCTCAGCAGGATCTTGCTGTTGTCCAGCTGCGTGGCGCCATTCAGGATCCTGTTGCAGGCCGAAGTGCTTTTCGTGGGGCTGGTGCAGCCGTCCAGGCCCTCGGACACACGCGTCTCGCCGGCCTCGGGCTCGTGGCCCTGGATCAGAGTCCCCGTGCGGTGGCTGCGAATGTGGATCTTGAGGTTGCCCTTCTGGGAAGCCCTGTGGTCACAGTAGGGGCACTTGTAGGGCTTCTCACCCGTGTGCTTGCGCATGTGCTGCGACAGGGAGCTCTGGAAGGGAAAGCTTTTGCCGCAAATGCAGCAGCTGTGGCTCAGGGCCTTATCCCCGGCCACCTCGGGGCCCCTGCGCAGCTCCATCTCGGCCTCCTGGTGACGATCCATCTCAAGGACACAGGCAAGCTCAGCCAGGGTGGCAGGGCTCTCTGTCAGGCAGGCCCGCAGGACAAGGTCTTATCTCTCCATGTTCAGAGGAGCCTCCTGCTTCCCAGCTGCAGCTGCGCCTGCCACCACAATGTGCGTGTCCTACCTGGAGCACATGGTGGAGGGCAGCGAGCACCTGGAACAGAAAAGACACAGCGAAGAGCTTAGGAAGGAGGTGTGCAGGGGAACAGAGACCCGGTCACATCCACCAATGGATCCACACGGTCCTCCTTAAAAACATCAATCCAATCCAAATTAAAGAAATGAGGCACCAACAAAAATTCAAACAGATGTATAAGCAGCTACTCTCCTTTCAAAGATCAACAATCAAGCAATTAATTATTGATAATGATCGTGTTAAATAATTAAAACAAACCAATGTAAATGATTATGCACTAAAATAATTTTTATCAGAAAGGTATAAAATCTTTAAGAAAAGACTGGTGAGAGTTTGTGGGCGTGAGACACAGCGATAAAAGAAGAGAGCGTGGGAATAAGGAGCAAAGTGAAATGAGGGGGGAACGATGGCAAAGATGGGAGGCAGAGCTCCCGCTGGGCCGTGCAGCTGTGAACAGCACTTACAAAGGTGTGCAGACAGTAAGGAAACGAGTCTTCAGTTAAGAACTTGGATGATAGAGTAAAAGAGAAGCAACGCAGTGCAGAAAGGGAACCCTCAGCTGCTTCAAGGTCTGTGCCCTGAACCAACTACCCCAGGACTGGGTGGCCGATGCTGGCTACCCCACGGATACCACCCCCGGTGTGTGTGACCACAAGAGCATTTCCAGAGCAACATTCGGTCCTTGCCGCCTCTTAAAAGCCCAAACTCTTTGGCCCACCTTACAAAGTTCTTGCCATCCTGGTCCTGTCCTTTTTCCCCTGCACTCCTACCCCCGCTGTATCTGCAAAACCACCTGAAACTCTGGCCACAGGGCTGAGTCCTAGGTGCAGAAAACCCTGCTGACTCCAGGAGGTTGGGCAGCATCCCCTCTTCTCCACAGTCAGACCCCACAGTGCCCTCCCGGGGAGGCCAGGTCCACCTCTCCCTGGTGACAGCAGATGTATCATCACTGTCACCTTCATGCCCATCTGCCTTCCAGAGAATGACGGACAGGCCCTGGTCTGAGCCGCTCCTCCAGGCACCTGGGCGTGTCCAGCACCCTGTGCACAATCCAAGGCGCACAGTGGGCAAGCCTCTACACTGTGGGAAACCCAACCAAACACCTGTACACCACCAATGGGCCCAAGACAGTCCACACTGAAAAGCAACCATGTGCCATAAAAACAGGAATTTCCTTCTGAGTTGTGATAAGCAGAATACAGAGAAATAATGCGCCAATTAGAATGCACGTGGGAGATACCGCATGTTTCAGGACAGAGTTCTGACAGGTTAGCTAGGGACGGAGGGCCCACCTGGCTCCCCTGGAACAGGGCTGGTTCTCCTCCTGCATTGAAGGAGGCCCACTCAGCAGCCCCTCCCGATGCACACAGTCCACTGATGATGTTTTTTGCAAACCTTTTAGCAATCAGTTAAAACGTAATTCTCTGCCGCTGGCTCACTTCAGTGGCCAAATCAACAGACCTCTGTGGCCATTCTTTTAGTTGTCAGCAAAAACTGCCATTTAAGACACAGTCATCCTTTCTTTTCCAAAAAAGAACAAGAACACTGTCCTCGGAACTTTGCACTTAAACATGGGCCCGGGGCAGCCACCCCAGTGACAGGGTTATGGGGACATTATCAGTCCTCCTGGCACTAAGGGCTTTGCTGTCCTATTTTTCTAAGCCCCTCAGCCTCTGGGAGCCGGGGGGAGGAGAGGTCTCAAATGCTTTCTCCCCATTTACCGTGGCCCCTGTGAGGTGTGACTCGCACTCCCAAACCTTCAGGTAACACAGACACTACGAGGAGGGGTGGGGGTAGAGAGCCAATGCACGTCCATGTGTCTTAGCTGACATGTGACAAGTCACCACAGACATGCGCAAAGCACAAAGCACAGCCCCGCTGACCACATATTTTGCCCATAATGAATCAGAGTTCTGTTGTTACTGTCTGACACACTCTTCCCAAGGCTGTCACTGGGAACTTGCCAGACGAGACTGTAATTTCATTGTTTAGGCATAAAAATGGCTTGCTGATTAGGGTTTTAAAATAGATTTCCAATGGATGTTCCTGTGTGTGTGTGTGTTTCTCTAGAGATGAATAAAGAGTTGGAAGCTACTTTTTGAAAATGCCTTATGTAATTTTCAAAATAGATTTTATTTTGAAAAAGTTAATTTAATATTTATAAAAATTGAAAAAATTAAAATGTTTACTAAAGAAACTAAAAACATAACATAAGAATGTTATGTGTGTTCATAACATAAGAATGCATTCTAATGGGCATGGGGAGGGGTTTCGGGGGACAGAACATAGAAGTCATGAAAATAACATGTTTAAGAAATCAGCATGTGAGTGCACAAAGAAAGGCAGCGGCAGGTCCGCGTGCATATGTCAGGCTGCCGCCCTACCTGGAGACTTACCTTCTTGGACTGCAGAGCACAATTGAAATAAAGAGACTTTCCCAAGACTGCTAACACTTAATGTAGGTAAATTTAATCTGTGGGTAACTGTTTCAACTAAAAAAAAAAACCAAAAAACCCTTCTGGGAACAGCATCTTCGGCCTCAGCCCAGAGAGGTCACTTCCTGCAGCAGCACGCCCTGGTGACCCACTGCACGGGGACTGCTTCCCACACCTGTCCTAGGAACTCCTGTGAGAGCCAGTCCCGAAAAGCTAAGACCTGAGACACACACCACAGGGAGAAGCACTGCAACGTAGCCAGAGGGCCTATAAGGAACCCTACGCAGCCTCTATCAACGTCTGATCCCCACAGGACCCGAGGCCCAGTGCTGCCTGCAGCCTCACACTGAACAACAGGGTTCATCACAATCCCTGAGGGCCTACTGTGCGACAGGTGACGTCTGGGAATTTAACAACCAACGGTGACTAAGAAACAGGCTTAGCTTCGAGGAACCCAAAAGTCAGAAAGGACACACAGTGGGGAAAAAAGGATACTGGCGGTGCCCCAGCTGGGCAAGTGGAAGTTTCCGGAAGGGTAGAGAGGGAAGTGATGACCTGCATTGGCAAAGCCTGGCTGGTCCTCTCAGGGGAGTCCAGGGGAGTCTAGGAATAGATGGTCTCAGCTAAACTTTAGGGGTGAGAAGGACTGCCCAGTCCCAAGGACCCAACCCCAAACACTCGAGGTCTTCCCCAGCCCTAACCTCTGTCTCCCAGCATCCCATAATAATGTTCATCCTGTTCGCTGTATCTCCAATTCAGCCTTGAATCCACACCCCCTCCCATCTCAGCCAAAACTACAGTTCCAGAATGCACGTCTGGACAGCCTGAGACAGCAACCTGCACAGGTGTTCACACCCTTCGGATGAGGCCACACTCCCCACCTGGGCTTAAAGGGCTGTATCCTGCACCGAGGACACATGTCCCCTGGCCCCCCAGTTCGTGACCTCGTGTCCTGCCCACACCCCAGCAGAACACACACTCACAGTACCTCTGGGCCCTGCCACACATCAGTCACTGACCTTCTCAGGGGCCTCACTTGAGCCCCTTTAGCATGAGACTGAGTCGGGCCCCTGGAGTGGCCCTTCCCAGCACTCTGCAGGGTCTAGCCCAGCCGTGGGCAAACTACGGCCTGCGGGCCGGATCCGGCCTGTTTGAAATGAATAAAACTAAAAAAAAAAAAAAGACCGTACCCTTTTATGTAATGATGTTTACTTTGAATTTATATTAGTTCACACAAACACTCCATCCATGCTTTTGTTCCGGCCCTCTGGTCCAGTTTAAGAACCCATTGTGGCCCTCGAGTCAAAAAGTTTGCCCACCCCTGGTCTAGCCCTATCTCAACACACATCTGGACACATTACTATTCCCACTTCTTTAATCCCTCACACACTCGTATGTGAGACAATATATTTTGTGAGGGCAGGCCCACAAAATATCGAGCTTTCTCCCCACTAAATCCCATACCCTAGCACAGAACCAATCACACAGTGGGCCTCAGTGCTGGGAAAGAAGGTCTCGACCTTGAGCTTCAAGGTCAGACACACTGAGCTGGAATCCCATTCTGCCACTCACTTGGATCAACTGTGTGACCTTGAACAAGTGTCTTAACCTCTCTGCTCCCCAGCCCATTTCTTCATCTTTAAATGGAAATGATGGTCATGGTATCCATATTATAGTATTTTGTGAGGTTTAAATTAATGCAAGCAAGGTAGAGTGTTTAACACACAGTAAATGTTCCAGGTATTATAATTAGTTAATAATTGTAGATAAATGAATGAAATGTCAATTCAGTACCCAAAGATACATTGTCACTGGCAATGACAATATTTGATTTGATCAATTCAAAAGGGCAAACTAAGAGCTTAGGAAGCGAGCACAGAAACACTCTCCAGTAACACCTGGGCCCACAGCTTCACAAATGGTTTCAACACAAGGACCAAGTCTTCCACCAGCAGCTGCAGTCATCACAGCAGGCCCAGCTCCAGAACCTGCAGAAAAACTAACCTCACCGTGGACTGGATGGGACAGCAGACGATACTGAGAGCTACCATGCCTTCTGTCCGGTCTCATGCCAGGTCGCTAATGTGGGAAAATGGGCTCGTTTTTTGGAGGCCTGTGATGAAGTACTTTACAGACAGTTCATCAAAAGAGAGAAAGCAAATTGCTGCCTCTCCCGGTCAGGGGTGTACATGTCTATTACTCTTTCTATTTTACTCTGCAGATTGTTTTTAACATTTTTCACACACACACACACACACACACACACACACACACACACACAAAATGACTCACATTTGGGACCCCAGTAACACAATCGAGTAACACAATTGAGAACCCCTGTGGGCCCCTTCTCCCACCTCTCCCCCTCCACCACCTCTACAGCACCCCTAACCCCTCCCCAACTTACACCACTCCCCCCCACCCCCACCCCTTCCCCTCCTCCACCCCTCTCTCATCCCTCCCCAACTTGTCCTACCCCTCCTCCACCACTCCCCCATCCCTCCCACACCCACTTCCCCCTCTCCCTTCAGAGGCCCCCAGGAAGCTCAGAGGGCTCTAAGCAATGCAGTTAGAAAGTACCTT